ACAGGGAGCAGGAGGAGGGGAGGAGAGAGAGCGCACACGACAGGGAGTTGGGGGTAAAGAGGGCGCACGTGACAGGGAGTAGGTGAGGGGGAGGAGAGAGGGCGTGCGCGATGGCGGTAGGGAGCGGGCGCGTGACACAAATCTGCGGGGCATGGCCCCGGCGTCCCTCCAAGCCCACACCCACACTCACCCTGCCCGCGTAGTGAATGACGCAGAAATCGGCCTTGTCTTTCAGCTGCCGGACTTTCTGGAACTTGGGGTGGTCGCCCTGCTCCTGCACCAGCTTCTCCACAAACGTTTTGTCCGTCGCCTTGGGGAACCAGCACTCCTCATCCAGGAGGGCGAGGATGCCGGGTGTGTTGGCCTGTGCTCGGAGGAGGAGGAGGAGAACGGCAGCGGGTGAGAAACAGGAAGCCACTGGAACCCCATCACCCCCAGCCCCCGACCCCTGGTTTAACTCACAGGCCGCTCGATCAGATCGACGCAAGACCACACGTCGAGCACAAAGTAGATCACGGCTGACTCGAATCCCTCCCTCTGGTACTCCACCTGCTCCAGGACGAACATCGTGTGGTTGAAGAGCTGCTGCAGTTTCTCGTTCGTGTAGTTGATGCAGAGCTGCTCGAAGGAGTTCAGCTGCGGCCGGGAGAGGGGCAGGAGGGTGCGGGAGGTTAACGCCAGCAGAAACTGGAGCAAGAGTAGGCCCCGTCGATTCAAACAACGTGGTCAGGCCCACTGAGCGGGCACGACCACCCATTAACCCCAACATCCTGCACTTGCCCCGCATCGCTGCGCGTTATTATACCTTGTGTGCTCATCCAAATACTCTTCCCCCAACTCCCCTCAAATCAACAAGGCAGGAGGGGGGAGGGGAATACTCCCCACTCGCCTTGGACTTGGGGGGGGGTGGGGCAGCTCCGACAATGCTCCAGCAGCTCGGCACCGTCCCAGGGACGCAGCCAGGGGAACTCTATCCACCCTGTGCATGCCCCTCGTAATCTTACGCGCCTCAATCCTGCTGCCCCCTGGTCTGGAGGAAACTATCCGTGCCCTTCCAGTCTCTCCTTACAGCTCAACCTCTCCGTCCCGCCCCAACATTCCTGGTGAAACTCCTGCAGGTGCCACGACCAGAGCCGCAACACAGCCGGGGCCTGACCCCACGCTCTGTACTACTTCAACCTCACCTCCTCACTCTTATAGTCTACGCCACGGCTGATGGAAGCAAGTGCCCCGAACGCCTTAACTATCCTATTCCTCCCCTTCGGGGGGGGGTTGGGGGCTCAGTGAATAATTACCCCCCCGTGATCCCTTGGTCTCCTACCGTTCATTCAATACTCCCTCACATTCAATCCATGCAACAGAATCACGCCTCACATCCACTTTCCAGCCGCGTTCCCTCGATCCTCCGACCGATCGAGAATCTGTCTCAGCCTTCAATACCCACCAGGACACTGCCCCACAGCCCCCAATGCCTCCCCCCTACCCCCCTATGGCAAGCAGTTCCAAAGACCCTCAACCCCCAGAGAAGAAATTCCTCCTCAGCTCAGTCTTCGATTATTCCAGACTCTCCCATCCCTCTCAGCACTGACAGCCCCTACATGTTTCAATGAGATCACCTCTCATTCATAGAAACATACAACACACACACTCATCCCCGGTCCGTGCCGACCCAGATATCCAAAATGAATCTAGTTCCCATTTAGAGATGTTACGGAAACAGGCCCTTTGGCCCACCCCCATCCGTGCTGAATCCAGACATCCTAAATTAACCCGGTCCCCGTTTGCCCAGCATTCGGCCCCTAACCCTCTAAACCCCTTCCTATCCATGTCCCCATCCAGATGCCTTTTAAATGTTGTAACTGTACCAGCTTCCCCTCCCCACCCACTTCCTCGTTCCACACACGCACCACCCTCTACGTGAAAACGTTACCCCCTCGGGTCCCATTCCCCCCTCCCCACGTTAAACCTGCGCCCCTCTAGTTTCCGATTCCCCACTATCCCTGGTGGGCGGGGAAGACCTCGGCTATTCACCCGATCCATGATTTTATAAACCTCTGTAAGGTCACCCCCCCCCCAACGCTCCAGGGGAAAATAGCCCCCTGCCTCTCGCTCAAACCCTCCAACATCCTTGTAAATCTTTCAAGTTTGCCAACATCCTTCCCATAGCAGGGAGACCAAAGTATTCTAAACGTGACCTGCCAAATTTCTTGTACAGCCCAAACATTGTTCTAAACTCGTAGAATCCTGATCCGTTTAGCTTTTGATCCTAAGACAATCCCTCCATTCCGGGGATCATCCGAGAGATCCTTCTCTGAACTGCCTCCGATAAAAATGATCTCTTCCCTTAAACAAAGGGAGCAAAACTGCTGACGGTGCTCCAGATGGGATCTCCCCAACACCTTGCCCTGTCGTGGTAAGGCTTCCCTACTCTCATACTCCAATCCCCTCAAAGTAAGGGCCGACACTCCCTTAGCCCTTCCTGATTCCCTGCTGCCCCCAGTGTGCTAGCTTTCTGTGTTCCATACATCTCCCCTACCCCCTGAAGTCCCTTGGTGTTGCAGCTTTCGCCCATTTCAGTAATAATCTGCTGTTTCGTTCTCCCTTCCAAAACATGTAACTTTGCATTTTCCCACGTTATACTCCTCCTGCCTACTAACGTAACCTAGCAATACCTCGCTGTGGAGCATCTGTGTCCCCCGCAACTTGCCTCCCCTCCTATTTCGGCGACGTCTGCGGATTTGGCTACAGTACGTTCCCTTCTGACCTCGAACTCATTGATAACATATTGCAATGTGTCACAGCGTCGGCACCAATCCCTGTGGGGAAGCCCCCAACTGGTCATGGGTCACCAGCCTGAAAACTAACACCCCCCACCCCATCCCCACTTCCTGCCCATCAGCCAATTCTCTCCCCATGCCAATATCCTACTGTTCTTACGGCTTACTGTCAGCAAACACCTTCTGGAAATCCCAATACAGCACATCTACTGGCTCCCTCTACCCAGTCTGGTTGAATCCTCCTTGAAAACTCTAATAAATTAATCAGCCACGATTCCCCCTTTCTGAAGCCGTGCCGATTGCTTACTTAAATAATTTCCCCCTATTGCTTCTGTAAGAATTGATTCCAACCCATCTCCAACAACCGATGTTCAGCCCATTGGCCTATAGTTTAACCACTTCCTGCTTCCCTCCCTATTTGAAAACGGATGTCACATCAACAATTTCCTACTCCTCTTCTCCAGAAACCAATCATTGTTGGAAAATTGCAACCAACTAACTCTGTAGCTACCACTTACAGGGCGATAAGATGCAATCCATTGGGATTGAGGGTCTGACCTGCCTTCAGCCACAGCAGTTCGTCCAATACTACTTATCCAGTAATGGCACTTAATATCCCACCCAGTCTAATCCCACTCTCCCCCTCACTCCCCGCTCCCTGTAATATCCCACCCAGTCTAATCCCACTCTCCCCCTCCCTGTAATATCTCCACCCAACTGCGCTGGTTTGCAGATACACCTTTAACAGCCTAGAGAGCTACCTGAAAGATCTCGAATCCAGCAATGTCCAGGATCCCAATGAAAGAAGCCCCTTGTCTCTTGGTCCGATCCAGGGCTCTGTTGATGCGGTGAACGAGCCAGCGGAACAGGCGCTCATAAGACGCCTTGGCCAGGGCCTCGATCGCGAAGTCTGCCTGTAGGTCAGGAAGGAGAGAGACCGGATGGTCAGCCGGGCAGCAACTGTATATCCATCTCCCTCCGACAGCGCGGCGCTCCCTCAGTACTGGCACCGGGAGGGTGTGTCAGCCTGGATTATGGAGCTCGAGTCCCCCTAGAGTATATCCATCTCCCTCCGACAGCGCGGCGCTCCCTCAGTACTGGCACCGGGAGGGAGGGTGTGTCAGCCTGGATTATGGAACTTGAGTCCCCCCTAGAGTATATCCATCTCCCTCAGTACTGGCACCGGGAGGGAGGGAGGGAGGGAGTGTCAGCCTGGATTATGGGGCTCGAGTCCCCCTA